AGCTCCCATTACCTCTACTTTAAAAAGAGAAAGGTTATTTGAAAAAGTTATCGTTCCCAGTCAGGAAAATGGTTTAGAAAAAAAGAGCAAAATTCTCCTTAACCAAATCCGAAGCATTGATAAGAAAAGAATAATTAAGTACTATGGACAGGCAGAAAGCGAAATAATGGTGGAAATAAAAAGTAGATTACAATTAGTATTAGATTTAGAGAATGAATAAAAGAAGTAAAGGTGCCGAATAATTACCGATGATAGTAAGCAAAAATTCTGTATTGAAGTCAAAAAGTATAATCACCTATATTTTTATCAATTTTCTCCCTTTCTCTTCACTAATCAATAAATCAGAACAACTAATCCCATTATCAAAAGTGCCACAATTAACACCCATCAACCAAGACCAAGCCCACCAGGTTTTAAAAATTTGTTTCAAGGGTCCTTTCCTTCTTGTTCGGCTTTTTGACGACAATCAGGGCAATTAAGTCAGAAATAAAAATCTAATATAGTTATATAAACTATCTTTTTTTATCATTCTTTTTAAGACTATTTTTAAACCCTTCCATAACGCTTAGCATAACAAAAACATATTTATGGTAAAAAGTAAAAAAGAGTTTTATTTTGCTAAGTGAGGCTACTCTAAAAAAGATTTTCAAAACTTGGGTAGAAAAGGAGGGTTAACTTTCAAATATTCTTCTGCTGCGGAAAGACAGCGGGCTTACCGGAGGAGGAAGATGCAGACAAGGATAGATGCCGGGCTAGTGTGGGGTTTTGAACCTAGAAACGGGAAGGGTGAAGAAGTATCGGACTAATGCGAGTAGACAAAAAGCTTGACGGGAGAGAAAAAATAAAAGAAGTTTAAGGAAGGAAGAGGCGATTAACTTTTAATTTTCTTTTTTCTCAGTAAACTTATCAAACCGCCTAAAAGTAAGATACTAACCCCTAAGAACAATAGCCAAGTAATATGAAGTTGAGTAATAGTTTGTTCTTTTTTTCTTAATTTAGTTTGTAATTGTTGAATAGTAGTTAAGTCAATTTTAGGGATTTCTTTAATTATTGTTTGGGGTTCCTGGGCTTGTTGTAGTTGAGTTTGGAGTTGCTGAATAGTGGCTTTTTGTTGGTTAATTTCAATTAATAAGGTTTCTCTTTCACTATTGCTTGGCTCGGGTTTAGTTTCGGTTTGAGTTGGCTGGTCAATGGTCTGAATCGGCGGTTTATCCCTTAACTCCTCAATTACTTGCTCCAATTCTCCTATTTTTTGCTCTTTTTTTTGATTTTCTTGGCGTAATCTAGTTAATTCACCGTTATCAACTGGCAGACAAATATGTTCCTCATGCTTCTTTTGTCACTTATCGCGGTCAATTTTAATTGCTTCCAATTCACTATTTATTTCAACTAATCAACGAGCCAGCAAACTATTAACTCCTTCCTGGTTTTTTTGCTCTTGAACTAACCCCCTAATCTTTTGTGTGGCTTGTTTTTTTTTATTAGTTAATTTATTTAAGGAACTGTCTTTCTGGTTAATTAAATCCCACAATTCGCTGCTTTGCCGTTTCGCCTCGTGATAGGAATTGGCTAATATTTCATAATCTTTAATTCAATGGTTATTTTCTTGGACTAATTTTTTTTGCTTATCGCTAGCAACTTGGTTTTGCTGTTTTAATTCTTCTATCTCTTTTTCATAAAATCCACACCTTTGGTTAAATAATTTTTCTACTTCGGCTTGTTTGGTTTGCTTTTCACTTAATAAATTCTTTAAGTTATCCACCTTATCTTGCCAACCGTCTTTTTCCTCCATTCACTGACTCTTTTGTGATTTAAAAAAAATTAAATGTTGGTTTAGTAAAAAAGTAAGTTGATGATTGCTTTTTTGGACTTGGGCTAAACTTTGTTTGGCTTCGGTTAATTGACTTTTGTAGTTTTCGGCGGCTAATTCAGCAACTCCTAAATGATAATTTATTTCGGCTTGGGCAGCCTTTAAATCTTGTTGAAGGGCGGTTAATTGTTGGGTGAGAGAAGCATTAATATTTATTTGGTCTTGGCAATGGTGATAATTGGTTTGGCTATTCTGATAAGCCTGGTTTAATTTCTGCTTTTTGGCATTTAGTTCCCGGCTTTGATGAAAATTTTTTCTTTTCTCTTTGTTTAATTTTTGTTGAGCTACTGCTAGTTTTTGTTGGGTCGCTCCTAGTTTTTGTTGGCTTTCTCCTAGTTGTGATTTTGTCGCTTCTAATTGTGATTCTAGGCTTTGTTGGCGGGTGGTGAAATCCTCCTGCTCTTTTTTTAACTCCTCTTTGACCGCTTGGTAAGCCTGCTCCTGCTCCTTGATTTTATTTTCTAAGGCTGATTTTCATTGGTGATTTCCCTTTCTAGTTTCGTTAATTATTCGTTTTAATTCCGCTCCGTGCTGTCTAATTTTGCTCTCTCTCTCTCTCTCTCTCTCTGCTGCTTGTATATCTTCGTAAAATAAATTCTTAAATTCGTTATTTTCACATACAATAGTTTGGAAATCCTCCTCTAAACTGAAAACAACCTCTAACAGTAAATTTTTATATTCAATTATTCGTTCGGGTTGGTGGGGAAAATCGGTGGGAATATCTGACTTTTTAGTTACCATTTTTTCTATCTTGCTGAAAAGACCACGATTACTATCATAAGTTCCTCAAATGTGATTTAAACTTCCTTGGGCCAGAGCAGGCTTACCAAGCGGTCAAAGAGGAGTTAAAAAAAGAGCAGGAGGATTTCACCACCCGCCAACAAAGCCTAGAATCACAATTAGAAGCGACAAAATCACAACTAGGAGAAAGCCAACAAAAACTAGGAGCGACCCAACAAAAACTAGCAGTAGCTCAACAAAAATTAAACAAAGAGAAAAGAAAAAATTTTCATCAAAGCCGGGAACTAAATGCCAAAAAGCAGAAATTAAACCAGGCTTATCAGAATAGCCAAACCAATTATCACCATTGCCAAGACCAAATAAATATTAATGCTTCTCTCACCCAACAATTAACCGCCCTTCAACAAGATTTAAAGGCTGCCCAAGCCGAAATAAATTATCATTTAGGAGTTGCTGAATTAGCCGCCGAAAACTACAAAAGTCAATTAACCGAAGCCAAACAAAGTTTAGCCCAAGTCCAAAAAAGCAATCATCAACTTACTTTTTTACTAAACCAACATTTAATTTTTTTTAAATCACAAAAGAGTCAGTGAATGGAGGAAAAAGACGGTTGGCAAGATAAGGTGGATAACTTAAAGAATTTATTAAGTGAAAAGCAAACCAAACAAGCCGAAGTAGAAAAATTATTTAACCAAAGGTGTGGATTTTATGAAAAAGAGATAGAAGAATTAAAACAGCAAAACCAAGTTGCTAGCGATAAGCAAAAAAAATTAGTCCAAGAAAATAACCATTGAATTAAAGATTATGAAATATTAGCCAATTCCTATCACGAGGCGAAACGGCAAAGCAGCGAATTGTGGGATTTAATTAACCAGAAAGACAGTTCCTTAAATAAATTAACTAATAAAAAAAAACAAGCCACACAAAAGATTAGGGGGTTAGTTCAAGAGCAAAAAAACCAGGAAGGAGTTAATAGTTTGCTGGCTCGTTGATTAGTTGAAATAAATAGTGAATTGGAAGCAATTAAAATTGACCGCGATAAGTGACAAAAGAAGCATGAGGAACATATTTGTCTGCCAGTTGATAACGGTGAATTAACTAGATTACGCCAAGAAAATCAAAAAAAAGAGCAAAAAATAGGAGAATTGGAGCAAGTAATTGAGGAGTTAAGGGATAAACCGCCGATTCAGACCATTGACCAGCCAACTCAAACCGAAACTAAACCCGAGCCAAGCAATAGTGAAAGAGAAACCTTATTAATTGAAATTAACCAACAAAAAGCCACTATTCAGCAACTCCAAACTCAACTACAACAAGCCCAGGAACCCCAAACAATAATTAAAGAAATCCCTAAAATTGACTTAACTACTATTCAACAATTACAAACTAAATTAAGAAAAAAAGAACAAACTATTACTCAACTTCATATTACTTGGCTATTGTTCTTAGGGGTTAGTATCTTACTTTTAGGCGGTTTGATAAGTTTACTGAGAAAAAAGAAAATTAAAAGTTAATCGCCTCTTCCTTCCTTAAACTTCTTTTATTTTTTCTCTCCCGTCAAGCTTTTTGTCTACTCGCATTAGTCCGATACTTCTTCACCCTTCCCGTTTCTAGGTTCAAAACCCCACACTAGCCCGGCATCTATCCTTGTCTGCATCTTCCTCCTCCGGTAAGCCCGCTGTCTTTCCGCAGCAGAAGAATATTTGAAAGTTAACCCTCCTTTTCTACCCAAGTTTTGAAAATCTTTTTTAGAGTAGCCTCACTTAGCAAAATAAAACTCTTTTTTACTTTTTACCATAAATATGTTTTTGTTATGCTAAGCGTTATGGAAGGGTTTAAAAATAGTCTTAAAAAGAATGATAAAAAAAGATAGTTTATATAACTATATTAGATTTTTATTTCTGACTTAATTGCCCTGATTGTCGTCAAAAAGCCGAACAAGAAGGAAAGGACCCTTGAAACAAATTTTTAAAACCTGGTGGGCTTGGTCTTGGTTGATGGGTGTTAATTGTGGCACTTTTGATAATGGGATTAGTTGTTCTGATTTATTGATTAGTGAAGAGAAAGGGAGAAAATTGATAAAAATATAGGTGATTATACTTTTTGACTTCAATACAGAATTTTTGCTTACTATCATCGGTAATTATTCGGCACCTTTACTTCTTTTATTCATTCTCTAAATCTAATACTAATTGTAATCTACTTTTTATTTCCACCATTATTTCGCTTTCTGCCTGTCCATAGTACTTAATTATTCTTTTCTTATCAATGCTTCGGATTTGGTTAAGGAGAATTTTGCTCTTTTTTTCTAAACCATTTTCCTGACTGGGAACGATAACTTTTTCAAATAACCTTTCTCTTTTTAAAGTAGAGGTAATGGGAGCT